AACCATAAAATAGTTTTTAAAAGGGGGTACCGATTATGTTATTGAAGAACATTGACCAAATATATGGATTGTGTATTGGTAAAAGATTAATCATTAAAGAGATGTGAAAGAACATTATCAATGTAATTGATGTTTCGAGAAATCGCGTTGGAGAAAAAGGTTTACATACCCTGAATAAAATTTGGTATCATCTGATAGAATTCTCAATATAATAGTCTTATGTTTTGCTATGACTATAAACAAAAGTCAATGTCAAACATTGTCCTTTGCTATATTATTTTTAACCAATTCGGGATTTACTCATGGTTAGCTTTATGTTACTGTTTCACGAGTAAAGAAAAAGACATGATTAAAAATATTGGTTCTAGATGAAAATAAAAACGCTTACAACGATACAAAAAATGCTGTGTACACTAAAGTCTTTCAAAAAATTTGGAATTAAAAAAGATTTGTTCGAGTACACTTTCAATTTCTCAAATATTATATTCTACTTTGTCATTGTTTTCCATTGATTAAAATTTGTGACAGAAATATATTTACTTGATTTTGGAATAAATATTTCATTGAAAAATTTCAAAATCGACAACAGTTTCGTTGGACCCCGTGCATCGCACGGGTCAAAATACTAGTTTAGGAAAACGCTAAAGTTGCCCAAACGTTCACTCCACCTTCCATCAGAACCTTATACTCCCTCCGTCCTAAAATTAACTTCTCAGTTTGACTTTTATAGTCAAACTTTTTAAACTTTAACCATATATTATATCAAAATACTAGTTATACTATATAATTGTGTTTAAAAAATAATAGTTTTATTGAAATCAATACGAAATATATAATCTTATGCGCAATTTTGAAACAACGAGGTTGGTATTTCAAGTGGATGACTTATGTGCCAGTATCCAAATGTGTTTATGTCCAATCTCCACCTACAACATTTCATTTTTTAAAATATGAGAAATAAGACTTGAGCTATAGAATATTAAAAAAATTGCATATATATAATAATATATTAAAAAATTTGGGCCTCATAAATCTCGGGCCCGATCTGGTCGGGTAGCCAGTCCCCCGTATGGGCCGGGCCGGCCCTAAACACATAAATGCTCTCTCAATCCCAAAAACTAGTCTTTTCTCTTACTATATTATTATTTTGTTAACTTATGTTTGTAAACATATTTTTATTGATCACTTAACTAAATAAATATTTTTGTTATCTCTTACTTTATATATTTTTTATGTAGTTTCAAGCAGTGCAATTATGCTTTTATTTCTATACCAATTTGTAAATAAAATAATTTCAAAACAGTTAAGTTTTACATTTTCTTTCAAACGACAAAGATATTTTGACTCGTGCCTAATTTGACCATAAATGGTTTTGGTATTTTGGAGAACATACGGTGATCTGCTACTAAATTGATACTCCGTAGTTTCTACCTCTTGTACCATTCCGAGATCGTCAACAGAACACCCGAATCATCCTAAGTCGACTTTATCTAAAGTCAAAATAACCACTATCTCTTCTAATTTCTAAACGGGATGTTCAGGTGACATTAGCCTCTCATGTCATTATATGACACGAGCCTCGATTAGAGCACTTACGGTGCTCCTCTCATGTTCAGGTGACATTAGACATTAGCCTCTCATGTCATTATACTGACCCCCACCCATTCCAATTGCACCCCAAAAAATTTAGTTGACTTTGGAGTTAAAATTTAACTCCAAAGCCAACTAAAATTTGTGGGGTACAATTGGAGGCGTGGGGATCGATTTAGGTCGGGCGAAGGTAGGGGGTTTATCGAGGGTGTTTGGGGCGGTAGGAACCATTAATTTTTTGAACGGATTACCGTAGATGCCCCGAATCATCTTATGACATTGAAATTCAATGTACTTGAACTGGGGTGATTTTTGGGAGGTTCGGGTGACATTAGTCTCTCATATCATTCTATGACCTGAGTTTCGATTGGAACAGTTACGATACTCTTTTCAAAGAATTGACGTTTCCTACCTTCCAAACACACCGAGTAAACTCCTACCCAGGCCCGATCCCAACCGACCCCTCTCCACCCTCTCTAATTGCAATCTAATTGCAAGAATGTTTTCCTTTTTAGATTTTGTAATAACTTCGTTAAAATGACAAGCCTGCAGGTGTGCACGAACCTAGAGAAATGGAAGATGGCGCCGCGCCTTCTCGTCTCTTCGAAATTTCCCGCCTCAAAATATTTCAGCTATGAACCCTGAGAAACATCACTCCCAGAATCCGAATCCAGCTACTCAGGCGCCGTCGGCGATTACGCATCCTTCGATCCCGAAACCCTAGGCGTTGCCGCGAAATGCCGACGTGGCAGATTCATTCCGATGCCGGGAACACCTTCCGGTGGAAAATGTCCGACCGAGAGCCGCCTAGCGGTGTCCTGGCTCCGCTGCCCCCTCCCGACTCTCACCGTCTTCCCTCCATGTCCGATCTCTTGCGTCATCAAGGTATTGCCGTTCTCAACTCTCTATCACTGCGGAATAAGCTCACATGTTCTGATTGTCTTTGTTTCTGTATTTTGTTATGGAGAATGATGGAAAAAATTTCCAGATATAGTTCGGGGAATCCGATGGAAGCTGAGCAAACCTCAGTAGACAAAGCAGTATCTGTCATTTTGTGATGAAGGCAATGCAGTATTTAGTACTGATTTTCCAAAACTCTTCTGCATTTTTACGGAATGTATGGGGCATTATTATCTATTTATTCCCATTTAAGAATATAGGAGCTGGAAATTGTAAACTTTAAGTTTGAAACAACGAGATGCCTAGCTTCCAAGAGATCTAAGCTGTTTTCTGTAGTATACGTTCTTGCAATTGGACCTTCCCAAAATTAATTTTCCCACTTTGTATTCACGGAGATTAAGAAAAGTTTTTAAAAAGTGTTGAAACTAAGTGGTCCGAATTTCTTTGGTAGGGTGAGAAATATTTTGATTTTTCCAATAACCATAGTGTCTGAAAATTGAAATAAGAAGATAGTGTATGCCTAATGAGATGAAACATGAGGGTGTTGGCGATTTGATGAAAATATTTTTGTGTTATATCCCAGTATTTGTTAAACATCTGTATAACTGTATTAGATTAGCAGCGTAGTTACAGTCTTTATATTCCAACTATGTGTTCCTTGCAGGCGAATGTCGTGGTAGAGAGAGTGGGACTGATTTTCAGAATGTCGTGTTCTGCAGAGACTTAGATTATGCAATTGATCATTCAAAACCAGCTTATCTTAATGGCTCAAGCAAATCAGTTAATATGTCAAAGTCAATGTTTCAGACAGGGTCTGGTAAAGCAGTCACCATATCTCCAGCCGGGCTTGCAAGAGCCAGAAAGTTGTTGAACTTGGAAGAAACAGACACATTTCAAGACTTTGACCAGATGAACACACTACCATATTCTCATAATGGACCTTTTGAATGGCAAGGTTCATTTCCTTTGCAAAAGACTACCGGTATGACTAACATTTGATCTCCTTACGCTTCAGTAATTTGAGTATCCCCCTATGACATTATAAATACTAATGTGTTAAAATCCATTTCAGATAGGGATATTCCAGATTTTTTGCACATTGCACCTAAACCAGATCCAATTAAGTTTCAAACAGCTGGTGGGAGATCAATTTCTGTTTCTAGTGACGCATTGAAACGTGCAAAGAGCCTTCTTGGAGATCCAGAACTTGGCTGTTTTGTAGATGAGAAAGATGCAGCACCTCTGTTGTCTTCATTTTCGGATGACAGAAAGTCAACCTGTAACTTATCAACAGTTAAAAATCAGACCTGTACTCCATCACATCAATCCTCAGTAAGCAGTGTAAACTCTTCTGGCAGGTTTACATCTCCACTCAAGTCAAATTTACAGAAAAGACAGTTCAGTGTGAAGCTTGATAATATCCATCCAGCAAACAACTTGATCAAGCATTTTGATGCAGTGGCAAATGACACTGCAAGTCAGTCTTATAATGCTATTCATCGTCATCAAAACCATTCACAACAGAAACCCGCTATGTTTCCTAGAAGTTATGCTGAAAAAAATGCATCCTCAACTAATGCATTGCTTCAAACATCATCAATTGGGGTGCTAACTGATATCACAAACACTACTGCTTCTAGAATTCCAGATGGAAAGCAGAAGATTTTTGAGAAGAGAAGACTTGGGAGGAGTTCTGTTTCTCCTTTCAAGAGGCCTCGTGCAGAAAAATTTACTCCCCCTTTGAACAAGAACATGCCAGTAATTCCTAACGGTACATTATAGTACATTCTGAACACTTTCTCAATCCTCTTTCTATATGATTTTACTTATGTGATTGGATGCATCTTTACTAGGCCTGTCAAATTTGGCACCAAAAGAATCAACCTTTAAAGGAAGAGTTTCAGACCGGTACCCCTTTGAGGTTCCACGATTGTATATGAATGAATACCTTGGAGAGCCCCCGTGCTGCCAAAGCAAGGTGCTATTGACATTAAAACTTATTCAACAAACATTTGTATTGTGATGTTTTTTTAATGCTGATAAGATTTCTTTTGCTTATGAATCTAGCTAGTGAATGTTGGAGATCAGGTGAGAAGAATGAATCCTGAAACCGCTGAAACTTACGTGTTCCATGACGAACTTGGCTTGGCTGATGTTGGAGTTGATTCATTTTTTCTCATGCTATCTCAATTTGGAGCTTCACAGCAATACCTTTCTAAAGCGTAATGTCATTCACTGTATTGTTTGGGACCAATGTTGCATGGAACAATTTATCTCATTTCTTGATCAGGCATGCAGGACGATAATTGTTCATATTCTCCAAGAAATTGTTGTTAAATTGATTACAGACTATGAATTCCTCCGAATAATCTTCTTTGTTATCAACAATAGATTTAGGTTCTTAAAAACTGTGTGTTCATGCTGGAATGGTTTGGCTTTATTTGAGTCCCGCTGCATTGCTGAGTTTACATTGCTAGATGGGAGCATAAGACATCAACTGTTTAAATATATCTTCTTGATACTGTTTTTCTGCCAGTGTTTTTATTTGTACATACTTTTCTTCTATTCCTGTAGGTGGGTTGCAAATCACTACAAGTGGGTTGTTTGGAAACTCGCATCTTATGAAAGATGCTATCCTGCCAAATTTTCTAGGAAACTCCTTACAGCTTCTAATGTGCTGGAAGAGTTAAAGTATAGGTATCCATTTTTAAAATCCACAAATAAAATTTGAAATCTTTATATTCTATGGCTTCTGGTGTAAGTAATGATTTGTTCATTCTTTTTCATACAGATATGAGCGGGAAGTAAATTATGGTCATCGGTCTGCAATTAAAAGAGTTCTAGAAGGTGATGCACCATCTTCTTTGATGATGGTGTTGTGCATTTCTTCCATCTGCAAAGCTAGTAGTGGATATCAAGATCAACCTAATTCATCAGTTGGGACAAATATAGCATCTACTTCAAAAATAGAGCTAACTGATGGGTGGTATGTTGAATGTTTTCAGTCTATATGATGAGCTTAAGTTGAAATTTCAAAACTAATTTTTTTCTCTGATGATAACAGGTATTCAATTACCACTATTTTAGACGGAGAGCTGTCCAAGAAGTTAGATGCCAAAAAACTATTTTTAGGCCAAAAGCTCAGGGTATCACACTATTCGCTTGTTCATTGTTTATACAGTTCTTTATGCACGCATAACTATAAATCTGATGTTTTACATTGTTTACATCTTATGTTTTTATCTGAAGATTTGGGGAGCTGGCATATGTGGCTGGGTGGGGCCTGTTTCACCTCTTGAGGTTCTTGTACTTTTGATCAAGTTGAGGTATCCATTTATTTTATTTGTTTTTGAGAGTAACTGAAACATTGGTGTTCTCTTTCACTTCAGGTCTCAAAGGAAACTAGTTTAGTACTGCATATAAATGGGACATACCGAGCACATTGGGCAGACCGTTTAGGATTTTGTAAGCATGACATAAGTACAAGCTTATACATATAATCAATTCTCTGCAACTGTAGTAGTGTAGTAGGGCATTTTCTTTAATTCTACTGAATCCTTTCTATTTTCTATTTTTGAAAGACTCAACATTCAATCCTACCAACTTGACTTTGCTACCATCTACAGGCAAGGGTAGAGGTATTCCATTAGCATTTAATTGCATCAATGGCGCAGGAGGTGCTGTTCCTATCACATTGGTTGGAGTTTCAAAGATATACCCTGTTCTGTACAGAGAAAGGTAACTCCCCATTCTATCATACTAGAAACTCTCTGTTGTACACACACATAGCTTAACAAATGCTTGTCATTACATAGATTAAGTAATGGAGGATACTTGGTAAGGAATGAAAAGATGGAAGCTAAGGCGATAGAGCAATATAACCAAAGGTATATATGATTGTCCCTGCTATATTGATAGAACACTATAACTGAAGGTATATAAGACTTTTCTTCATTTCTTTTCTGAATAACCCATTAATGCATGTCACGTTACCACATTTTTTAAAATTCTGTTGTCTATTTATCATTTGTCTTTCTTGACTTCCATTCTTTATCATGGCCGCAATATTTTCTGTAAACAAAATCAGTGTTTCCCACCACCAGCTTTTATTTGAAATACCATTGCATTGGGGCTTCACATGCGCGTTGAAATTAAAATGACAAAGAAAACACTTTCTGTATTATTATTATGAAAAAGTATCTTTTACTCCCTCTGTCTCATAAAAATCTTCCTTCTTTTCTTTTTCGTTCGTCCGAAAAATGTTCACTTTACTGTTTAGGAAAATAGCACATGGCCCAAAAACTTTCTCTTCTTATCAAATTCTAACCACACATTTTTTACTTTCAACACTTTTCTTAAACTTTGTGAAAGTCGAACACAGAAGATCTTTAAGGGACGAAGGCAGTATGTTATTTGTTAATTGTCAATTGGTATACAAATTATTATTTTTGATGGAGTAGGAGGTCTATTGTTGCGGAGGGAGTAGCAACTGAATTTCAAAAGGCAAGTATGGACATCATTATTGGCAATGATTATGAAAGCGAAGAAGGGGCAAAACTCTTAAAAATACTGGAGACATCAGCTGAACCTGACATACTTATGGCAGAAATGACTTTGGACCAGCTTAACTCATTTTCTTCATATCAAGCTAAATTGGAGGTGGGTTGATATTTTTGGATTCTCAGCTTCTCTTTTCACAGAAGGATGCTTGATGCTTAGAATGCAATTTCTGTTGACAGGCCAAGAAGCAGTCTCATTTGCGAAAATCTCTTGACACAGCTCTGGAAGCTTCTGGTCTGAAAACAAGGGATGTTACTCCATTTATGCGAGTTAGAGTTGTTGGGTTAACCCGGAAAAGTGTTCAACTGAGGAATCCTCCAAAAGAAGGCTTAATTACAATCTGGAATCCCACTGAAAAACAGGTTGCTTCACGATTCCAAACAAATCTCATGTTCTTTCTTCTTTGATGTTATCCTTGCAATCTTTCTTATCTGTTTTTGCTCTTGTTTTTGTAAATTGACTTCCTAGCGAGAGGAGCTCGCTGAGGGGCATGCTTATGAAGTTTCAGGGCTTGTGGCACAAAGCTCTGATTCAAGCACCCTCTATTTGCAAACCAGAGGATCAACATCGAAATGGCAGCCCTTATCTCCCACAGGAATTCGACAACTTGAGTAAGCTCAGCCCACACACTCTTTGCTCTCTTTACTGGCAGAACGTCCTAGATGTGTAACAAAGGCTTTTGCAGGCCATTTTTTACTCCTCGAAGATCAATTTCATTGTCTAATTTTGGTGAAGTTCATGTGTCTAGGTGAGTGAGAGTATATCACTTTGATCTTCGCTTTTTAGTGCTTCCACTTGAGGACTTGTAAGAAACTTTTTGCATTTATGTTGTTTTGATTGTATGGGGTTAGTGAAATTGATATTGCTGCACTGGTCATTTATGTGGGAGAGCTGTATACAGTAGCTCATCAGAAGAAACAGTGGGTGTTTGTGACTGATGGATCCCGAACTGCATTCAGTGATTCCTTATTGGCGATTAGCTTCAGTTTAGCAAATACTGAAAACGAACTGTTTGCATCAGAACTTTGTAATCTTGCGGGATCAGTGGTATGCATTGCTAAATTCGGTATATTTTCATGTGTCGGCCCGTTCGGCCCGCCCAGCCCGCCCTTTAAAAAGGGCGGATATGGACAACCTTTAATACCCAAATGGGCGGGCCGGCCCAAGCCCGAATTGTATATGGGCGGATCTGGAAGTCACTTTTAGCCCATCCGGGCCAACAGGCCCGCCCATATTCATCAAATATATTTACTTTATTATTAATTACCTAGCCAATATAAATTTTAAAATTTTCTATAATTCATGTATAATAGTTTAATTCACTCACCTCTTTTAAACAAAAATCAATACTCTTTTAATGAATCAATATGATGGGTTTGTTAAATATGCAACAATATCTCTATTATGCTTTCTATATAAATGTGGTGACTGATTATTTTATTTTAAACATTAAAAAAGAGTTCAATGTTTTTTTTCTAAATTTTTTGTACAAAAAAAAAATTCTTGATGTTTTATCCGGGCCGAGCGGCCCGGTGGGCAGTCCGGCCCGCAAAGATGGGTGGATATGGGTAAAGAATTTAGCCCATCAAATCCGGGCTGGGCAGGCCCGCCCATGTAAATGGGCTAATAATTTATATCAAGCCCGGCCTAGATCCGGCCCGGATCCTTATTTGCACAGGTCAAGGCCTTGTATGATCCTTGATACTTAAATTATCAGCCTTGTGGATTTTGTCTTTGTAGGTATGTTTCTTTAATCTTATCAAGAGAGACAGAGATGGTATAAATAATCTCTGGGTGGCTGAAGGGACAGAGAATTCAACCTATCACTTAAATTATGATCATCCACACTGCTCTCATTTAAAAAGTTCCATTGCTTTTCTCCAAAGCTGGGTTAAGACTTCTGGCTCGGTATGCCTCCACCCACCCCACCCCCACCCCCAAGGACAATGCTAGGGCCACCTCACCTCTCAGCCTATCTTTCGTCCCACGTCATAGATATCCATAGACACCCGTTACTATTCAATATCTATGGGTGTGTGTGAGATTGTTGAGTTGAAAGGTGGGGTGAGAGTTTGGGTGACTTTAACACTTTCCAAAAATATATATGTTAAAATCTGTGTACCACAGTGGGTCTTGTGTTCAGTCTTGCTGTCTTGGATTCATTTATATGTTGTGATGCAGCGAATCGAACCACTCAAGGGGAGAGTTTTGTCTATTATCAGCAACTCGGCACGATAGCTGCTCAAGAATGCTGCTGATACTCTCAAGGTAAAATATATAGAGTAGCTTTCTTCGTCGTTTGTTTCTGTCAACGGGATAGGCACTCTTCACTTTTGTTGTTAACCTTTTTTATCTATTGGAAAGTTTGTCTAGTATATAATTCCAAGTTTGGTTGGTCTTCAAATCGTAATCCTTAGTTACTATGTTGCTAAGAATAACCCCAAGTTTGCATATGTTGTCAACCTATGCTAGTTTTTGGGAATGTAGCATGACTTTTAACGTATTTTTATTCACGAAAATTGCAAATTAAAGGAATAAGTGTGGAATGTATGGTTTGTTTGGCCTGTCTAGTTTTTTTAGTGCTATTGATTCAACCTGGGCGAACTTCCTCATGAATCTTGTGGAGTGGGTTTCCTACCAATCAAGCCAAGGGAGAAGTTTGCTTGCCTAGTTAATGATCTAGTTGAATTAACTTAGAGGCTAAGATGCGGCGGAAGAATGTGGATCATTATTGAAAGACGGTAACAAACTTTGGATTATTCTTGACATGGAAATATAATTGGATGACCGGCCAAACATAAATTATTATCTGTAAATATTCCTTTACAAAAAAAACTTTTCAGGGATATGTCTGGATTTTATCGACGCTTGATCCTGGCAATCCTGGCATGGTGACTTGTCCTTCATTCAAATGTAAATTCTGATGGTTTACTGGTAAGTTCTTGTGTGGCTTCATTTATGATTTATGTGTAGTTTTTTTTGTTTAGTTTTATTTTGTTTTTGCTTTTTGTTTTCTTGTGTAAATGTACAAGAGAATTACATGCCCAATGGTTTCTTGATTAAAACAAATCTTACTACGTATATAGGTAGAAAAGTGAAACCATTCCAGTGTTTGGTCTGAATGGTGAAAGCTGACTATATTCACCTAGTGTCAAATCTTTTGATTTACAATGCATTAGTAGCTAATTTAAAACTATATATCTTTGTATTACAGTACCGGTCCCCGATGAATGTTTATAACATTTACGTCTCATTATTTGCGTTTAAGTTTGACTTCGCTCGTTTCTTAATAATGTATGCATCGTTGTTCAAATTTTGTTTAAAATTGTGACTATTAAGTAAGCCATTGGACGTGTGCGTGGTGAATTATGCATAGGGATTGTTATAGATTCAAAGATAGGGTCTGATGGATAATAATAGTAATGATATGGTTATGCCATTCAATCCTGGTAGTAAATTACAATGATCCTTTTGCACTAGAGTGATATCTTTAGGCGGTTGTTTCCACGGCGGTGGCGGGGGCTTTGGCTGCCACCGTCTCGGTAGAGTTGAGGAGAAGCTTTAAAATGTCAACTTCATTGTTCGTTTGACTTTGAACGGAGTTTCCAACGGTCTCTTCGGTTTGCCCTGAAACTAACGTAGCTTCTTCCTCCTTGTGTCTTCCTCCTGTGAATAAAAACGAGAAGAAAATCAGGCTTGATCCTCAAATGTTAAGACTGTCTATCACTCTAATGTTGCTTCCCTGTCTATCAAATTTTATTCACTTTCTTTCTCTATTTTCGTTAGCAATTTGATAAAATAAAATATTATTGTTACTACTAGTTTTGTAGATCTTTTGATGTAGTTTTTTAATATGTAATTTTTATTTTTTAATTCTATAACATTTGTCATATAAAATGGTTTGAAAATAGTTTCAGTCAAACATCGTAAACCAAAACAGGCGTTATAAAATGGGACGGAGGTAGTACTAGAAGTTTGATGAAGGTGAAATAATGACAATTGGAACAAGTAATGTTTGAAAATTGTCAAAATGGGTAGGCCGTGAAAGATGTTTAGAATATGTTAGTTTGGATTTATTTATAAACAAAGGGCGTTAATATCTATTCGGTCCAATGAAAAAATTTTGGGACAGATAAGATGAGTAAATGAATGTTTTGTGAGACGAAAGAGGTATAAAAACTTTTAAGACAGAACATAAAAGAATTAAATAAAATTGAGCGAGATGAAGGCATCAACCATATCTATACCTTTTGGAAAAGAAGAAAACAAATAGTATCTTTATTATGGTTTCTATAACGTATCCCACAATTACCTGAAATGATGTAAATTTAACCTAGACAATACCTTTTGAACATTGGTGAACACATAACAAGTAACATGCCCCTGGATTTTGAGATCTTTGAACCAAGCATTGGTTTGGGCATGCCCTGGTGCAAGGTGAATCCGCTTGCACCACCCAAACATGGCTCATTAGCTCAACGCCAAGAACAAGAAATATAAAAACAATGCAAACTCCATTATTATTATTATTATCTCTTAAGATGGCCATTAGAGATTATTTATCTCTCCTTTTCAATTGTATTTCTCTTATTGTATTATGCACCCAAAAGGAAGAAGAAAGAATTGAAATTGGAGCCACCTTATTAAAGGGTATTTAATTTGTGTGTTAAAGAGTGATATATAGGAAAAACCACGTGGGTTGCAAAATGGTTGATGGTCTATGATTTTAGATTTCTATGGATGGTTAATTAACCACATTTTTAGCGGGTCAAGTGGATAGAGGGATATCATCCACCCTTTTTTATAACTTAATTACTTTATTCGTCTGAGAGTATTCGTTCAATTAAATATACGAGTGTTTTCAGTTGAATTGGACGGAATTGATTACTTTATTTGTCTCTTTGTGATTTTGGGTTTTAAATTAAATTTTACAAACTTTGACTACAAATTAGACGGAAGAAGGGAGTGTGAATTAGATGAAAAATTGTATTGCATATTAATACAAAAACGATTACTCGGAGTGTAAACGTGATTTATACAATTTCTCTTTACAATACACAAAATTTATATGTACATACTTTCACATCTGTTAATAAAAAGTGTCCGATCAATAATGCCTTATTTTGCATGCACCAATTCAACATGGCATCTAATTAATCTTGGTGGCCGGCCTCCACTCTAAGAGAGACCAGACCATATTGTTTATTATGTTATAAAATGTACTACCTACGTCCCATTTTATAACGCCTGTTTCGATTTACGATGTTTGACTGAAATTATTTTCAAACCATTTTATATGACAAATGATATAGAATTAAAAAATAAAAATTACATAATAAGAAACTAGATCAAAAGATCTACAAAACTAGTAGTGACAATAATATTTTATTTTATCAAATTGCTAACGAAAATAGAGAAAGAAAGTGAATGAAGTTTGACCCTGTGAATAGTAAACAAGCATTATAATTTGGGACGGAGGGAGTAAATATAATGCTTCATATTGTCCAAAAAAAAGAATGCCTCATAGACAAAACTCTGCTACAAATATGCAAAAATTAAAATTTGAGTCTAAAACTTAAATTAAATTTTTTTAAAAAAAGAAGAAACAAGTAAAAATAAACAAACGAGACTTAAGAAAGTGCTTCCCCCGCCGCCGCCGCTAGCAGCTACCTCCGGTGGATTTTCCGGCTAACCATCTAAGGCGGTTTCCGGCGATGCCTCGCTAAGGTCGCCTCCCCGTCCTCCTCCGCCGCTGCTGCAGTACAAAGTGCTCAACTGGTGGAAATAAGGGCAAGTCCTAGAATCAAGAGGTCTTTTCTTCTTGCTATCTTTTGTCTTCCTAAAGTATTTGTTTATGTTTTCCCATTTCTCCTTGCACCTTTTGGCACTTCTACTATACCCCAACTCTTGCATCCCTTGGGATACCCTCTCCCAAAGTGGGCCCTTTGCCCCATCTTTAAGGTCACTATTGTTGTTGTTGTTGTTGTCATCGCTGCTACCGCCATTGTTATTGTTTACGCTACTTCTCAAGTTTATCAATGCCAACACCTCTTCCCTCGGCCATCTCTTCCCCACATCTCCATCCCGAGCCATCACATTGGACGGTCGCGACCTTTTTCGTCCGGGGGACGATGGAGCGGGCCCCGAGTCCTTCATGGTTCGGTCATCCTCGTGATCGGTCACGGTTGTGCATGGTAGGGGTATCAATGGCGAGGGAGAGGAAAAACCCTTTTTTTCACACGAATTTGGCGCGTTCGCCATTGCGTCGATAAGGTCGTGCTGGAATTTTCCTATGAAGCAAATGGAGTGCGCGGTGGACGACGAGGATGAGGAGGAGGAAGAGGAGGAGAGCTTGTTCAAGAACTCTATCATCTTCGCGTGCCTGTCGCTGGCGACGACTTGCTCCTTCTCTCGGATTTCAATCTCCCTGTTAATCCTATCCATCTCTTCCCTCTTCCAGGCATCGTCCCTCGCCATCTTCACCTCCTCCATCTTCACCATGTCCTCAATGATCTTGTTGTGTAGCTCCTCTTGTTGCCCCATTATCCTCTCCACAATCCTCTCACACATCCCCTTGAACATCTCGAACCGCTCCTTCCTCTTCATGTTCTTCTTCTTCATCGTCCTCTCGTCCTCCTCCTCGCGATCATCATCATGACCATCATCGTTGTAATTATTACTAGTATTGCCATTGCTTGAAGTAGTGGCATTCGTGCTCTCCCTCCTTGTCATGAACGGTACTTCTTCGTTCTCAATAGCATTGGACATGTGGTGATCAACCACGACGTCCTTGCCTTCTTCCGGGCTTCGAGAGTGGCTCCTATTATTCTTGTTATCTTCTTCCTTGCCGTGTTGTTCGGGGATCAGCGGGTCCTCCTCGTGATCATAATCATCGTCATCATCATGATCATGAGTGAGGTTCTTGTGATGATGATGATGATGATGATGATGATGATGAGAAAGGTTAATGTAATGAGGGTTTTGATGATGAGTGTCTTGGTGTTGGTGGTGGTAGAGCTCAGCATCACCATCATCATCAAGCTCAGTGAAGAATCTCAAGCTCTTGTTGAAGCTAAGGTTTCTGCTCTCTTCTTCAAACCTCTCCTTGCATTTCTCTGCACTTCTCTTATACCCAACCTCTGCTAGCTTCCTGAAAATTAAAACAAGCCAACTTTAAATTATAAAATAAAAGAAATTAAATTAGAGTTGCCAAAAATTGTATGTGCCCAATGATGTACACTAGCTAGCTGAGCTGCATGGATTTAAATATAATTACTCCCTCGATCGATCTCTTTTATAATAAGATCCACTTCACAATTTTTAAAAAGATGGAAGGTTTTGATTTTCAAGGGATTTAAGGAGAGTGTGTTAAGGCATTGAATTTCCAAAAATTTCCATTGATGTGATGGGTAAAAATAGAGTTTGATGGGTAGATTGATAGTAAATAGATTTGATGTGATATGCAAGTTAAGAATTGGTAAGGATAAAAGTGACTTTTTAATATAAATGAGGAAAGTTTTTTGCGATGGATGAAAAAAGAAAGGAGAAAGATTTTTAGGACTGGAGGGAGTAGTTTTTAAGAATAAATATTCAACCTAACTCACTCTAAAATAGCTCTAAAAGAGTTTTGGACCTCAGAAAATATGGAAACAAAAAATACCAAAAAAAATGCTTTCATTTGTTTGAATTTACAAAAAATAAAATTACAAAGAATAAATTTTAAAAATGAATCAATGAAATAAACTTCAAACAAATATTTAAAATAATCCTCTTGAGCATGAACAAATTAAATGTTTTATTTTTATTGTGACAACACCACCAAAGTTTTCTACTCCCTCCGTCCCAGAAAACCTTTCCCCTCTCCTTTTTCATCCGTCCCAAAAAACACTTATCATTTCTATTAAAAAGTCACTTTTACCCCTTACTTTTTCATACCCTACCTATCACATCATACCTTTTTATTAATAATTTATCCATCAAAACATACTTTTACCCATCACATCAAAGGACATTTTTGGAAAATCAATACCAAAATACACTCCCCTTAAATCCCTCTCTAAAACCAAAACTCCCATATTTTTCGAGACAGAGGGAGTATATTATACCACTCCCCAGCCTGTTATCATTGATTATCCCTAGTAATATATTCCAAACTTCCAAACGCACCCTTGAAGCACCGATGGAAAGGTAGTACGTAATATATGCAGAAAATGAAAGGAAAAGAACAAAAAGAAAGTGGCATTGCACACGTACGTACTTTATACAGTTCATCAAAAAAGAGCTAAGGGTCCCTTTTAATTATATACTACCTCCGTCTCTCAAAAGATTTCCTCTTTTGACTTTGAGAGAAAATAAGAAAATGTTAAATTGTAGTTGACTTTCCAATTTTACCCTTGATGTGATGGGTAAAAGTAAAATGTGATAGTTTAGTTGTTACTGAAAAAGGATGATGTGATAGGTAGGATATGAAAAAGTAAGGGTAAAAGTGGTTTTTTAATAGAAAGGAAAAGTGTTTTAAAAAACAAAAATAATAAAAGATGAAGGTTTTAAGAAACGGAGGGAGTAGATCAAAGTTCACCCCAACATATTCCTAATTAAAGTCACACCCATTTTTTACACTATACATACATGCAATTTCACATCACCATAACTATCCTTCATTTTAAAACATGCACATCTTGTTTTCTAGGACATTTGATGTAATTTTTCAATGTCCAAATTTTATTTTTTTTTAATTTTATATCTACAATCAAATAAATTGAATTGAAAACAAAGTCGGACAAACATCGTAAACAGAAACAGGAAGAACGTTTAAAGTCGGTCAATATAGAGTATCCAGTTCTGACTTTTTTCTGTTAACTGTTTTCAATCTTTGATCTATAATTGAATAAAATGTACATTGTATATTGATTAGATAAAATAATATTTTGAAAATATTTGATATAATAAATCTAATAAAAATATTTCTGCATCAATATCTATTATCAGTTTTATTTAATGTGAAGTCAAAATTTACTAATTTTGACCACAAAAAAGTAAAAAATGAACAAATACTCAGGGACGAGATGGAAGGAGTAGCATAATTAATAGATACGATGTGATGGACAAAAATCACATGTTAATAGAAAATGAAAATGTTTTAAGGAAGGGAAGGATTGTATTTGTATCTAATCAATGTGGGATGACTTCCCCAAATTGTCCTTGGATGTGCTGAATATTTGTAATGAGAAATTTTAAAAAGTAACTTTGATATCGCCATGCCAATGCCACATAAAAGTTAAAACTTATTAACTTTTAAATAGTTATTCTTATAACAATAAACTTATAACACAAACTTTAACAAAAAAATATTTGCGTTTGCTTAAAATAACAAAATAAACCATTACATTTAATTAAATTAATCAAAATATTTTTTTTAAGTGCTTTGTGTTTGTAAGTGTGTGTGGGGTAATATATCCAAAATTAGGGTGTTTGATGGCGTTTTTGGCAAGTGATTCTCGGCTTAGGAAATGTGTGATTTTTTTGATGGGGCCCGATTTTTAGATTCCAGCTATAATTTTTTTTTTTAAAAAAAATATTTTTCTGTTAAAAAAAATCTCTTTTGAATTACTCTGGTTTTTTTTATATTTGATTTTCCTTTTTCAGTATTTTTTAACTTTGACTATAACACCACGATATAAAGAAAAAATACATGTTACGTTATTATATAAATTGAAAATCAATATATTAATTTTGAAACATAATTTTAAAAATATATATTCACAATATACTCTCTTGGTCTTGTTTGATTCCATACTGTTATTATCCATGTGTTCAAACAATCTATTTTCATCTATTATTTGATAAAACAATATAATGATATCACTTTTTGTATTATAAATATTTTATGTAGGTTTTTATGATACAATTTTATTTTTTAAATTTTATAATATACTGCGTACTCCTTCCATCCCTTTTGAATGTTCCAGTTTGACTTTCAAGGTCAACTTTTTCAAATTTTGACTATAAATAATACGTTGAATAATTGTAATAAAAATTTATATTGACATAATTTACTTTGAAACATTCATTTTTATAACATATATTTATCTATAAATAAAGATATTTAAAGTCAACCGGAAAAAACCAAAAGAGAAGAGTACTAAATATTGTTAGAAAAACTTAATAGAAAACTATTTCATCACTCAAACATGATAAATTGAACTAGCTGTATAGTAAAAAACCAAATAAGGAGAGTTAATATATACTACCTCCGTCCCAGTGTATTTGTCCACTTTGACTTTTTCGAGTCAAACTAGACAAACTTTAAACTCTAATTACTCTTAATTTATATTGCATATTAGCATAATGAAATACAATTTTGAAAGTTCTCAATACGATAAATCCAATAAAGTCATTTTTACATTAAAATACATTACGGTTTTTATTTAATAAGATCTCAAATTTTGTCCAGTTTGACTCAAAAAAGTCAAACTGGACAAATACACTGGGACGGAGGGAGTACTCCTTAAAAATATAATAATGGTCAAAACATTGTCATTCGTATTAGAGATTTGTTAAAAATCAAACGATAATAAATTTTTGGATAGAGGAAGCAATACATTTCTTCATATCATCATTGTCATGTTATTCATGTGTATATATATGTAGCCTCTAGGTGTACATGATAGCAGTCTTGGTTTGGGTTTTAGTTACAAATTCTTTCAAGAAATATCTGCACTAAATAGCACTAAAACTTAAGTCATTTCCCTAAATAAATAGCACTTAAACTGTGTTGTATTTTCTAAATAGTACTTAATAATGTCGAGAAAGAGAAATAATGTCTAGTAATAACGAACATTTTTAAGTAAAGGTAATTTACTCAAATAGCACTACATTGGGAAATAAAAACATTGGAAAAAATGCTACAAGTATTTATTAGGAAAAGTCATTATATTATACTCCCTCCGTTCCACAAAGCCCTTCCTCTTTCATTTTTTTGCTTTCCACAAAACACTTCCACTTTCTATTAAAAACCACTTTTACCCCTACTTTTCATACCCTACCTATCACATCATACTTTTTCACTAATAACCAAACTATCACATCTTACTTTTTCCCATCACATCAGGGGCAAAATTAGAAAGTCAACCAAAATTACACTTTCCTTATTTTTCCCCAAATCAAAATCGGAAGGGTTTTGTGAAACGAAGGGAGTATTTTAGCCAGTGTTATTTAAGTAAATTACACTCCTTTCAAACCCAAAAATCAAAGTGACAGGAGATTAATTAAGATCAAAGAGCAGGGTAGAAATGTGAGATTATTATTATTCTCTTAAAACCAATTAGTAATGAGTGGATTAACTCATATTCTTACAGATTATATATTAGTCTCTTTTTTTCTTTTTACAAAAAATATGTGTGTGAGTGTACCTTGATACATGTTCCCAAGTGAAATCTGGGAACCAAATCTCCATGCTAGATCTGATCTTGAGTAGAGCAAGCACCTCGTCGTTCGACCACGGGCACGCGGGCCCGTGGCCCACGGTCAACCGCTCGGACGCCAATCCGGTGGAGGGCGTCCGGTGGAATTCCTTCGCTGACCCGTCGTCATTCCTCTTGGACGGCGGGGGCAAGAGAAGGTGGTGGAGGGTTTGGTGGTGAGGCGGGTAGGGATCATCGTAGGATGCGAACGCTGGCGGCGGGGGAGCGGCGGCGTGGAGGGGGAAAGGGAAGGGGAAGGGAAGTGGTGAGGGGGAGGGTCTCGATGAAGCTATGAATTGGTGGAATTGGTCTGAGGGCACATTATCAAACATCTTTCTTTCTTTTTCTTTTCTTTTCTTTTCTTTTTGGGATTTCTCACCACTCTTTTCTTAACTCATTGGCACTGTGAAAATAATGTGGAGGAGGAGGAAGAGGAAGAGGATGAGAAATTTCAATTCATTGCCTAACAAACACATTATGTCATGTGTGCCCCTCTTTCTCTATCCTCTTGTCACTATTATTATTATTATTTTTGAATGCATTATTATTATTATTATTATTATTATTATCATTATTATTATTATTATTATTATTATTATTATTATTATTATTTTTATCATTGTTGTTATGGTGGGGTTCAAGTGACACCGGAGTGGCACCGTTCTCCGGTGTCACTAGAACCGGACCCTTGTTGTTATTATTACTATTATCATTGTTGTTATGATTACTATTATTAGTATTCATTGTTGTTATTATTACTATTATTAGCATTCTTGTTATTGTAATTATTAGGGATAATTTCTTCATTTTTTAACTTTTACATCTTATTTGTCTTATACTCCCTCCGTCCTAAAAAGAATAGGACGGTTTGACTTTTTAAGAAATTAAGGGAGAGATATTTTGGTATTGACTTTCCAAAAATACCCTTGATGTGATGGGTAGATTATTAGAAAAAAGGTATGATGTAATAGGCAGGGTATGAAAAAGTAAGGGGTAAAAGTGGTTTTTTAATAGAAATGTAACGGACTTTACGGGGCGCAGTTTTTTCTAAACGTAACAAACTTTTTGGGACGGGAGGAGTATAATACTCCGTATTTTAATTTATAGACACATATGCTTTTACTTTTTTTAAATCTAATCGAACCTACATTAACTACCTTTTACGCCCTACTTATTTTGACATTTCCCAAGGCTTGTTCATTTCATTTGTCGTCGTTTTATCTTGGTCAAACTTCTACAATTTCTCCTTTCAAAAGTTAAAATAGAAAATGTTTTGTGAGACGAAGAAAGTATTATTTTTGTTGTTAGTTGTAGAAAAAAAGAAAACAAGATCTCCATGCACATATATTCATAACTTGAAAACGATCAACAATGACATTGGGCACATCATCAATCCAAACCTTAAAATGGATAAAGCAAATAGAGACTCTTGGCTAACAAATGAACACCCACATTCGAGCTTCTATGAATCTAATAATCAAAATTTGAGTAAACAAAATCGACTACGAAATTAAAAAAAATTGGGTGGTACAATTGACGGGGTGCAATTGAGTGTTAAGGACGGGCTTGGCAGGAGGGTTTACCACGAGGTTAGAAATTGAAACAATCAATTTCATAATTAGAGCACCGTAGATCCTCGACTTGAGTTGGTGTAAAAATTTGCAACAATAAATTGTTGTACCATTATCTTTCCTCAATCTTAATTACTCCTTACGTACCCAATTTGATTACAAATTGGGATTTACGAGGAGAAATATCTCACTTTTTGAAATTATTTTATTTACAAATCGGTATATCAATAAGAAATAAAAATTACATATTAAAAAACCACGTCAAATGTTCTACAAAATAAGAGGTGAGAGAATACTTTATTTTATCAAATACTTAATGAAATTGCGTAAACAAACAAAAGTTATCGAGAGAATAGAAAAAAATTATAATCAAATTGGGGACGGATGGAGTAAAAATTTATATTCTCAAATGCTAAAGTTTATATATTTTTTTGTTTATATTTTTCGGCTATCCGTTGACATCCATAAAAATACTAAACTATCACTAGCAGAGCCGGCCCAAGGGTGGACCAAAGTGCCCTAGTGATCCACTTTTCCCAGTCCAATATTTTTAATTTTTTAATATAAATTACATACGGAGTATATTTTTAATAAAAAAATATAAAAACTTCAACTTTTTAAGGTAGATATTACGATAATTAATTGTAATACGACATTTTGTTATGTGTATTACCATACACTTAATTATTGTGTTAAAGAAATTAGGAAAATAATTTATACGATTTAATTTGTCATGATCAAGGTATATATAGTTTAATTTTTCGTCTCGTCCCGTGCCATCGGGTCCATTG